TCATCATTAATGTATATGTTGTTTACAGAGCCGTGACAAGGCTGGTTGACAGCACCTCTTCCTGGGTAATTGTAAACAAATTTGTAAGTGGGATTACTGCCAAGGATTCATTTAGTATATTGGCCTGCTTGTGGTGGTTTATGCTACCCTATTCATGGATAATATAATTTCTTATTCTTGTACAGTCAATGCTTTTTACTGCTGTCAAAATTGCCATTTTGTGAGGAAGACATTCAGGAAAACTGATTATGGGGGAAATCTCGTTACACAAAGTCCCACTGAGCTGATGATAGTGATCCTGTGTGATTTCACCTATAAACTTTGGGCAGTTTCAGGAACCCAGAAGAGCAACTTGATGAATCTAGAAGAAAATCATAAAGATTTCCCCCATCAATTGAAGTGTGTGTGTAGGGACTGCTCAGAGTGCAGGCAGAAAGTAGGACATTGCTGAAATGGAGCTGGAGGTGGCTGCTTTTGGGAGGGTCTTTTTTTCCCTTTCAATAAGACTTTTTTTCTTTTTCCTCCCAATTTTAGCATATGCAGGTTACACTTATTTTTTTGTAGGTTGACTTCTTCCTAAAAGTGAAAAGCTCAATGTAAAATTGCCAGAAAACTTAATGGAATTGACTTGCAAGGAAATGCTAACTCTGTTAGCAAAGACATAGCAAGGCCAGTGCTGGGAGCCTTACTAAAAAGCAATGACATAATGCAGGGCTGGCCTTTGAAAGTTTGTCCTATCAATTTGTGGTGTGACAACATAACCTAAAAATAGTTCCTGGGACTAAAAAAAAGCAGCGCTTTGATTTGAGGATTTATATTATTTTTTTTTTTTTTTCCCCTCCCATGGAAAATTCGTATATGCTGGAAACAAACCAATGTGGAATTCTACACATATCCAAGGAAATTACAGATTATCTTTTTACTAGAGATTTGTCAGCTAGACTTTAGTTTTCATCTTTTCCTGGATGTTCTTGGTAAATATTCCCACTCCACTCCAGTGCAGACTCTGATAATACCACAGCCTTTAGGGCAGTGGTATTAGTTCAGGATTTGGCCATCATGTGCAAAATAGCCCAACTTCACAATTATTTTATTTTTATGATTTTTGTGAGTTGTTGATGCTTTGAAGGAATTTTTAGTTGGCGTTATCTCGGTTTTGTATTTTGGTAGAAGTCATTTGAAAGTTGAACCCAGAATATCTCCCTGGCCCAGAATGGTACATAGATGGATTATGGGCTTTATGTAATATATATTTCTATTCTCTGTTCAGGACATATTTGAGAGTGCTTCATAATCTTTACTGATATTATATTAATGCATGTTTAATAGTTCAGACAAAAATGACAGTTGTGTTCTTGAAATAACTACTGGTGTTATTTTTTAAAGTCCTGGAAATGTCTATTGCCCCTCACGCTTTTCCAGCAGAGCCTTGTGGGCTCCTTGTGAACTTCTGTCTGATTCTTTCTCTGCACTCTGAGAAGTGCAGGCAGTGAAGATGATTTCCCTTTCAGTGTCTGGCTATATTGGGAACAGAATGAAGTTTTTAGCCATAACTAATGAGCTACTTGCAATTATTAGTGTCCTGGACCAGACTCAAAGGGTTCATTCAGATGAAAGTCTCCCATTATTATCCAGTTATTATCTAGATC